CCCACACACTCCCTCCCCGCCTCCCCCCCACACACTCCCCCCCCAGACCCTCCCTCCCCGCCTCCCCCCCACACACTCCCTCCCCGCCTCCCCCCCCCACACACTCCCCCCCTTCACATACTCCCTCCCCCACACACTCCCTCCCCCCAGACCCTCCCTCCCCGCCTCCTCCCCACACACTCCCTCCCCGCCTCCCCCCCACACACTCCCCCCCCCCAGACCCTCCCTCCCCGCCTCCCCCCCACACACTCCCTCCCCGACTCCCCCCCCACACACTCCCCCCCTTCACATACTCCCTCCCCCCAGACCCTCCCTCCCCACCTTATTACCGATATATCACAGTGACCTGAAATTACTCGGGATCATCAAGATGATTGTAGGTGCGTGAGAGACGGAAGGGGAGAGAGATATGGAGAGGGAGAGAGGGGGGCGGGAGAGATATGGAGATGACGTAGGCGAAGGTTATATGGAATAAAAACAGGGAGAATGGGAAAGGAGTGTGTGAAGAGGAGAAGAATAGGGGGCACACTTGAGATGGAAGAATAGGGGGCACACTTGAGATGGAAGAATAGGGGGCACACTTGAGATGGAAAAATAGAGGATTGAAGATAGGAAGACGTTAGAAGAGCTGGCAAGTGTAAAAGAAAGATAAGGTGAAGAGGATGGGGGGAAATAGTAGAGAATAAAAAGAGGAATGGAGGAGAAGGGAGAGAAGATAAATGGTAGGGAAGTAGTACGATACAATACACAATCACCGACCCCCCCCCCCCCCCCCGTGTACATGTATCCCCCAACCCCATGAGAGCCTATAGCACACACTATAACGGTATATCAACCCCATGAGAGCCTATAGCACACACTATAACGGTATATCAACCCCATGAGAGCCTATAGCACACACTATAACGGTATATCAACCCCATGAGAGCCTATAGCACACACTATAACGGTATATCAACCCCATGAGAGCCTATAGCACACACTATAACGGTATATCAACCCCATGAGAGCCTATAGCACACACTATAACGGTATATCAACCCCATGAGAGCCTATAGCACACACTATAACGGTATATCAACCCCATGAGAGCCTATAGCACACACTATAACGGTATATCAACCCCATGAGAGCCTATAGCACACACTATAACGGTATATCAACCCCATGAGAGCCTATAGCACACACTATAACGGTATATCAACCCCATGAGAGCCTATAGCACACACTATAACGGTATATCAACCCCATGAGAGCCTATAGCACACACTATAACGGTATATCAACCCCATGAGAGCCTATAGCACACACTATAACGGTATATCAACCCCATGAGAGCCTATAGCACACACTATAACGGTATATCAACCCCATGAGAGCCTATAGCACACACTATAACGGTATATCAACCCCATGAGAGCCTATAGCACACACTATAACGGTATATCAACCCCATGAGAGCCTATAGCACACACTATAACGGTATATCAACAAATTAAGTCGAGAATCCTTCAAGACAATGTATGCAACCTACGAACACGGCTAGTAGAGGCTAGAACACGGCTAGCAGAGGCCAGAACAAGGCTAGTAAAGCCTAGAACAAGGCTAGTTGAGGCTAGAACACGGCTAGCAGAGGCCAGAACAAGGCTAGTAAAGCCTAGAACAAGGCTAGCAGAGGCTAGAACACGGCTAGTAGAGGCTAGAACACGGCTAGTAGAGGCTAGAACACGGCTAGTAGAGGCTAGAACACGGCTAGTAGAGGCTAGAACACGGCTAGCAGAGGCCAGAACAAGGCTAGTAAAGCCTAGAACAAGGCTAGTTGAGGCTAGAACACGGCTAGCAGAGGCCAGAACAAGGCTAGTAAAGCCTAGAACAAGGCTAGCAGAGGCTAGAACACGGCTAGTAGAGGCTAGAACACGGCTAGTAGAGGCTAGAACACGGCTAGTAGAGGCTAGAACAAGGCTAGTAGAGGCTAGAACACGGCTAGCAGAGGCTAGAACACGGCTAGTAGAGGCTAGAACAAGGCTAGCAGAGGCTAGAACAGGGCTAGTAGAGGCTAGAACACGGCTAGTAGAGGCTAGAACAAGGCTAGCAGAGGCTAGAACAAGGCTAGTAGACGCTAGAACAAGGCTAGTAGAGGCTAGAACACGGCTAGCAGAGGCTAGAACACGGCTAGCAGAGGCTAGAACAAGGCTAGTAGAGGCTAGAACACGGCTAGTAGAGGCTAGAACACGGCTAGTAGAGGCTAGAACAAGACTAGCAGAGGCTAGAACAAGACTAGCAGAGGCTAGAACACGGCTAGCAGAGGCTAGAACACGGCTAGCAGAGGCTAGAACACGGCTAGCAGAGGCTAGAACACGGCTAGCAGAGGCTAGAACACGGCTAGCAGAGGCTAGAACACGGCTAGCAGAGGCTAGAACAAGGCTAGCAGAGGCTAGAACAAGACTAGTAGAGGCTAGTAGAGGCTAGAACACGGCTAGTAGAGGCTAGAACACGGCTAGTAGAGGCTAGAACACGGCTAGTAGAGGCTAGAACACGGCTAGTAGAGGCTAGAACACGGCTAGTAGAGGCTAGAACACGGCTAGTAGAGGCTAGAACACGGCTAGTTGAGGCTAGAACAAGACTAGTAGAGGCTAGAACAAGACTAGTAGAGGCTAGAACAAGACTAGTAGAGGTTTGAACAAGACTAGTAGAGGCTAGAACAAGACTAGTAGAGGCTAGAACAAGACTAGTAGAGGCTAGAACACGGCTAGTAGAGGCTAGAACACGGCTAGTAGAGGCTAGGACACGGCTAGTAGAGGCTAGGACACGGCTAGTAGAGGCTAGAACACGGCTAGTAGAGGCTAGAACACGGCTAGTAGAGGCTAGAACACGGCTAGTAGAGGCTAGAACACGGCTAGTAGAGACTAGAACACGGCTAGCAGAGGCTAGAACACGGCTAGCAGAGGCTAGAACACGGCTAGCAGAGGCTAGAACACGGCTAGCAGAGGCTAGAACACGGCTAGCAGAGGCTAGAACAAGACTAGTAGAGGCAAGAACAAGACTAGTAGAGGCTAGAACAAGACTAGTAGAGGCTAGAACAAGACTAGTAGAGGCTAGAACAAGACTAGTAGAGGCTAGAACAAGACTAGTAGAGGCTAGAACTAGACCTTAACTAGCCGCAGTCTCAGCTAGGTAGGTACGACAACCTCCCCAATCACCTCCGCTTCTCTAAGAACTCTCAACTGCAGTTTCTGGATCGATATTATCGTGCGTCATCACCTCTCAGGAGACTGGCGGTGATGAATGGTGACACTGTCCACCCGACGGGGGGGAGGGACACTGTCCACACGACGGGGGGGGGGAGGGACACTGTCCACACGACGAAGGAAGGGAAGACACTGTCCACACGACGGGGGGGGGGGAGGGACACTGTCCACACGACGGGGGGGGGAGGGACACTGTCCACACGACGAGGAGGGAGGGACACTGTCCACACGACGGGGAGGGAGGGACACTGTCCACACGACGAGGAGGGAGGGACACTGTCCACACGACGGGGAGGGAGGGGCACTGTCCACACGACGGGGGGGGGGACAGACACTGTCCACACGACGGGGGGGACAGACACTGTCCACACGACGGGGGGGGGAGGGACACTGTCCACACGACGGGGAGGGAGGGACACTGTCCACACGACGGGGGGGGGAGGGACACTGTCCACACGACGAGGAGGGAGGGACACTGTCCACACGACGGGGAGGGAGGGACACTGTCCACACGACGAGGAGGGACACTGTCCACACGACGGGGAGGGAGGGACACTGTCCACACGACGAGGAGGGAGGGACACTGTCCACACGACGGGGGGGGACAGACACTGTCCACACGACGGGGGGGGACAGACACTGTCCACACGACGGGGGGGTGGACAGACACTGTCCACACGACGGGGGACAGACACTGTCCACACGACGGGGGGGGGGGGCAGACACTGTCCACACGACGGGGGGGTGGACAGACACTGTCCACACGACGGGGGGGCGACAGACACTGTCCACCCGACGGGGGGGGACAGACACTGTCCACCCGACGGGGGGGGCACTTGACCAATAAGAACGTCTCAATGACGTATTCTCCACAGTACCACTGACCTAGCCCTTCGTGACGTCAGCGTTATGACGTACTATTTAGAGCACCAATCACCTGCCGGTGTATGACGTCACACTATCGACTACAGCCAACCAAAACTCCTCCTCAAGGGGCCGAGCGAACTGTCTACGAGCTGGAAACAATTGCGCATCGTGACAGTCAGTACGCGACCTTACGTCACCAGACGGGGCATATAGAGTCATATATATAGAGTCATATATATAGAGTCATATATAGAGTGAAAGAGAGCTTCCTGTAGTGACGTCACGGTGGGGGGGGACCTATCCATTACTAGTAGTTTGGAGTGGTACCTAGGGGGTAAAGAGCCAAGCCATTACGACTATATAGCACTGGGAAAGAGAGGTCAGGATAAGGATTTGGGATGGGACGGGGGAAAGGAATGGTGCCCAATCACTTGGTGGACGGTCCGGGGATTGAACGCCGACCTGCATGACGCGAGACCGTCGATCTACCGTCCAGCCCAAGTGGTTGGGTGGAAAAGTATCTGAGATATATGCTCGTCTTCCCATGAACTTAGGACTCAACCCCCCCCCCCAAAGACTCACCCCCCCAGGAGTCAAGCCCCCCCAGGACTCAACCCCCCCCAGGACTCAGCCCCCCCCAGGACTCAACCCCCCCCAGGACTCAACCCCCCCCAGGACTCAACCCCCCCCAGGACTCAACCCCCCCCCCAGGACTCAACCCCCCCCTCAGGACTCAACCCCCCCCCAGGACTCAACCCCCCCCAGGACTCAACCCCCCCCAGGACTCAACCCCCCCCAGGACTCAACCCCCCTCCCCCAGGAGTCAACTCCCCTCCCCCAGGAGTCAACCCCCCCAGGACTCAACCCCCCCCCCCCAGGACTCACCTTGAGGTCACGGTGTACTATGCGGCGGTTGTGGCAGTACTCGACGGCTGAGAGTATCTGCCAGAACTTGCGTCTCGCCATGGGCTCGGTCATGCGGCCGTAGCGGGCGATGTAGTCTGCCCACACCCGCGGCGCCATCATGGGGGAGGGAAGACACTATAGTTAGCTTCTCGTAATCATACACACTCACATAGTCTACACATGTTACACATATTTACCTAAGGTACATATGTCTTCCCGGCTTGGTATCTACTTTTGGTAATTACTTACATATATAGCAATACTAATTTTGTATGAGACACAATTCAAAACGGTCTAATCTATTATCTCTGTATGAAAGGAAATTCAGTCAGCAATTGGGTGGTTTTACACTGCCTACGTGAGACCAGTCATAGAGTATGCAGCCCCATCATGGCGTCCCCCATCTGAAGAAACTTATTAGGAAACTGGAAAGGGTTCAGAAGCTTGCGACGAGCCTCGTCCAAGAGTTACGAAAGTTGGGATATGAAGAGCGTCTGAAGTAACAGAACCTGCCTACACTAGGAGAAAATGAGGGAGTGGGGAGACATGATAGCAACATATATAATACTTATGGGGATTGACAGAGTGGAAATAAAGGAAATGTTCACACGGAATAGTAACAGAAAGAGGGGACATGGGTGGAAGCAGGAAACTCAGAGGGGTCACCGAGATGTTAGAAAGTTTACTTTTAGCGTGAGAGTAGTGGGGAAATGGAATGCACTTAAGAAGCAGATTGTGGAAGCAAACACTATTCATAATTTTTAAAAACTAGATATGATAGGGAAGTGGGACAGGAATCATTGCTTTAGAGAACCGGGGGACTAGAAAGGCGGGATCCAAGAGCCAATGCTCAATCCTGTAGGCACAAACAGGTGAGTACAAATAGGTGAATACATGATCAGGGTCTCACAGCAGAGTGATCAGTGCTCGCGATTCACTATCCAGAGACCCGGGTTCGATTCCGGCCCGAAACAAACGATTAGGCAGAATTTATTTTAAGTATAGGTGACAGAAAAGGAAAGAATAAGGGTAGGGTACCTGGAGAGGGTCTCAGGAGTTCATTCAACTCCCCGAGCCCGGCCCGAGGCCAGGCTTGACTTGTGACAACTTGGTCCAACAGGCTGTTGCTGGGAGCTGCCCGCAGGCCCACATATCCACCACAGCCTGGTTAGTCCGCCACTTCTACCGGAAGTACCGGAAGTTCACTCCCCTGCCACGGTAGGTGGCAGTGAAGGACAGGGGTAGGATAGGTGGCAGGGGGGGGTAGGATAGGTGGCAGGGGGGGGTAGGATAGGTGGCAGGGGGGGGGGTAGGAGAGGGTTAAGGTAGGGTAAGGTAGAAGAATGACGTCATTGCAGATAAAAAGGCATCTTCCTGAGACGTCAAGCGACTATCGCCTTAATACCGCCCAATCTTAGGGGGGGTAAAAGAGGGTAGAGTAGGAGAGGGTTGGGGAGGATAGGGGTCAGTAAGAGGGGGGGGTGCAGGTAAGGACTGCAACGGGGCTCTGACGTCACACACCCTTGGGGGGGGGGGGACAGCCCCTAATTCGTCAAACCTGGGTAATTTTTTGGCATATTTTTTTAGAGGGAAAGGGGGCGGAGGAAGATTAGACACTATCCAAATTTATTCAGGTTTAGATATATATTTTTAGGACACCCATAATACGTAATGAGTAAGGCGTGACGTGACGGGTGACCCCCGGGGCGTGACGGGTGACCCCCGGGGCGTGACGGGTGACCCCGGGACATGACGGGTGACCCCGGGACATGACGGATGACCCCGGGGCAAAGTTGACCACATCAAACTTTTAAGAGAATTGCTTAGTAGAAAAGTATTTCTAATCATCGGTAGACATTTACACATCTCGTATAACAGTCGTGCCAATTAGTTGTTAAATGGAGTGTAATGACCTCTGAAAATGCCCCTTAACAAAACATGGGGTCAAGGTGCTGCTCTTAATCCACTTCAGCGTGTTATCTATCTTGATACATTGATCTTAAGAGTTAACAAAAGATAGTCCAATGATCTATTGTTAATAAGAGTTAAGAGCCAGTGGAGCTGGTTCTCACGCAGTACTAAGGTTAATGTTGTCTTATGCTGATGATCTACTTCTACTCCCACCCACCGAAGATGCTGTGGACAAGGTGAAAGATCTATTGCTGAATACAACCAGACGTTCGATCCCGCAATGTGCGCGGTGGTTCGCCTTAACTCGCCGAACTCGTCTTATCGAGAGCCCAGTCTAAGATGATTGGAGACACTCCAGGAAAGTGTCCTGAAAAGCGTATTATATCCTCAAAGGGTCCCTTTGAGGGGACCTTGTCAACTGTTGACAAGGCTTGTTAATTGTTCTTAACAGAACAATTGACAGAAGGTCAATTGTCATTCAGTTAAGAGAGCTGAAGGTCAGAACAAATGGCACCACCATTAGCTAATTTGGTCATTTTCATGCCTGGTTGAAAGTCAATTTAAGTTGATATGAGTTGAATAAGAAAGATAAGAAAGTTTATTTAACAATGTCTATAAGCCTGTACGACTGTGAACTATGGGACCTACGATATAATGGCCGTGGTAGGCTTAATTGTAAATGAAAGAAATGTTCTAGAAGGCGAATCTTGGGAGTCCGTTCTCGGACTTATTGCAACCTTCCACCTGGACCCAAGTCCACCTGGACCCAAGTCCACACCCACTTGAGGATATAATTCACAAACAGATGGTAACGTTTTGTCTGAAAGGAATCGCCCGTCCAGTAAACTTAATCAACTCTCTTGTTTTGTCCTTCAGGCACTGATCACTGGCCACTCTACTTTTCAGAAAAAATAAAGTTGACGGCTAGGAAATACGACTTAAGACTGAATGGTATTTTTAACTGGGAGGAGCGTCTATAGTATAGCATAGTACAACTCATCTCAGAGAGAGAAGAGAGGAGAAAAGTCTGATACAAGGAGCGAGTGTTCGAAGAATCACATTTGCCGATGAATTACACCCCCCCTCCCTAGTTAGGGGTTATTAACGACCCCTTAGTCAAGAGAAGGACAGGCATCAGCAGCAACAAGGACAACAGCACCACCAATAAAGGTCAATGTAAGGTCACGAAACTATCAATAATGAACAGCGCAAATACTGAAACATTTCAGCAAAATGAATCAGTTTTAAGACAAGAACCGCTTGTGTCAGAAGTGTTTCCCACGAGTCATGGTACACTGGCTGGCTGCTTGCCCTCTCTCTCTCACCTCCCTCCCTCCCTCTCCCTCTCCTCTCCTCTCTCTCTCTCTCTCTCCTCCCTCCCTCCCTCCCCCCCCCTCCCCCCCCCCCCCCCCCTCCTCTCTCCTCTCTCTCTCTCTCTCTCTCTCTCTCTCTCTCTCTCTCTCTCTCTCTCTCTCTCTCTCTCTCTCTCTCTCTCTCTCTCTCTCTCTCTCTCTCTCTCTCTCTCTCTCTCTCTCTCTCTCTCTCTCTCTCTCTCTCTCTCTCTCTCTCTCTCTCTCTCTCTCTCTCACCTCCCTCCCTCCCTCCCTCTCTCTCTCTCTCTCTCTCTCTCTCTCTCTCCCCCCCCCGAATTCAACGCCTGCCCCCCCCCCCAACTCCCATAAAGCGATGGCTAAGATCCTAAAATTCCGGCTAACGAACGAGGTCGCCAAACTAGGCCACTTTGTCCCCCTTGCGTAATTAGTCATTACGCAAGAAAGATCACGGGCCGGGGGATGAGCCGAGGACGACCAGAGACACAAGAGTGTGACTGTGTCTCAAGCCGCCGCCGCCGCCGCTCGTCTTGGCGGCCGAGGCGTCGGCGGGCGAGGAGGCGTCGGGGAGGTAGTGCGCCAGGGAGCGTAAGACCATTCAGCCAAGCCAGCAGCAGCGGCGGCGGCGGCAGCATCGACTCTGGGCGACCAACACTGCTGGCTGCCTGGCGACTCCATCTTTAAGATAAGGCAGAGCGCGGCTACAACCCTGGGTGGTGTGGGCGGCGCCGCCACCCATTCACAAGTTCAGTTGCCGCCTCAGCCACCCCGCTCATTACCCCCCCACCACCTCTCCGCTTAATCCCCTTCTCCTTGCCCCTCTCCTTCCATTTTGCGCTTCTTCCCATGCCTGCCGGCCCTGGACACGATAGAAGGAATGATATACATCAAATACCGCAGCCGAGCCATAACACCCGGCATGTAATCGACTGGGATGGACCAATGAGACACGGCGGCGATGACGCACGAGGCCTCTCCGCCAATCAGAGCGGAGCCCGGTGTTACCTCAGAATGACGTCAGCATCCCGCGATTACCACTGGGACCGGGGGAGGGGGGGGGATACTTCATAACCGCGCTGCCAGGCGTCTGATTTCCCTTACCTCGGGCTTAATGACTTATGATATATAAACTACCGGTAAGCCCCTGCCCCCCCTGCAACACCTACCTACAGATAACGTGGCCCAGATTGGCATTAGCGCGGCCCCCAAGCTGATAAACCTCTCCGTATCACAGTGCTAACTACAACAAGGCAGGTACACTAGGCTAGGATTTAAAATCTTCCTCAATGGGACCGGACATCGTGACAGCAGTAATGAATTTCTTGACTATTAATCATTCGTGTTTGGGGCCGCGGCTTGTCTTGTATTCTCGTGTTCCAAGTCAGTGGTCACTGACGGTGAGTGGGTGACATTCACACTACTGGAGTCACATACATGAATGTGAACATGCCTGTGTGCGCACCTGCACGCACACACACGCACGCACGCACGCACGCACGCACGCACACACATACGTTCTTTTGCAAACAGTTTTTTGTTGCAGTTGTACAAAAAAATTGTTTACCGAATTTTAACGGTTTCAGATCTGCTATTATGGTCATTGCAGATATTACTGAATTTATTGCTGTTAATTTTCGATTTTACACATCACATTCGATTTATACACATATATATACTTTAGGGGTACTCCAGGTATACTCTACGTATACTCCAGGAATACTCTAGGTATACTTCAAGTATCTGGCTGTCATCTGCTGCATCTCTTGAGGAAGACCTTGAGGATTTAGGATTCGAAGATACGAATCCTAAATTGTTGATTAGCTCTCCTTGAGATAACACACACACACACACAC